AGCCGACGGGCATCATGGGTCTGTGCTGCAGGGCCTCGCGGGGAGGTCAAACAAAATACTGGCAATCACTTTAGTGACATAATTTGACTCTTCGGAAAAAAATCTCATTTTCAGGTCTACACTCAACATGCCGAATTCTTAGTGACCGTAATGAACAATTCGTATCGTGTGTTCAAGCAGACATATCACATCCAATGTTTAATTTTCACTTTTTAAATATAAAATATGATACTAAAATTAAACCTGCATTCTGTTTTCTATGATACAGTATTTGTAAAACAAATTTAATTTGATGATCCTTAACTTTTTTTGTCCAGTATACATCACCAGACTTGGTTCATGTTAGTGTAACATCACCTGGAGAATGTCTGCTAAAAACACCGTCAGAAATTTGGTCAATCAAGTCGCAAACCCAACCAGATGCTCAATATTCAATATATGGAACGAGTTTTCTATCATAAGTATCAATTATTTTCAAAGAAAATACAGTAGGTTTCACCCAACTTTAATGCTGAATTCACAGCATCACATGAATATGTCTTGCTCAACTCTCTGTAAATTAGGACGTACAGTACATGAAGCTCAGATTTGCATTACCATTTCATTATTATTTGCATGCATAAAACATAATCAATCAAAATATATATTAGACGTACTGTCACAGTGATTTTGATATTTGTCAGTAAACAGGGATACAAAGTTTACCCATTTTTTTTATTTTGGCCTGTGTTAATTTTCATGTAATTTTTTATTTTGATTGTAAATTAATATAACCATTCTGTTTCATCTGTATTCTAAATTATGTTTTTGTTTTCTGTATTTTTTATTTTGTATTCTTAGAGTGTCTTTTTTGTATGTTAACTATTTTTTATGCATTGTATAATTTATATTTCTGTCGGATTTTACCATATTTTTTTTTTTATTTTTTTTTAAATTTATATTACATAATTTTTACATGTAATTTTTGTAACATAAGTTTCCACTGATGTTTGTTTTATTTATCTGTATCTCTTAATTTAAACACATATTTTATATTGTAATAAAGTATTTACTTATAATAGTAGTATATATTCTAATATACATTGAAACAAATACATAAACTTAAATCTGCACACGGCCCAATGGACCCTTAAGTAACTTTCACCGATACATATTTTATTTTACATTTGCAGAAGTTGTTTTCTAATTTTAAATGCTATTACAAATTTGGCTTATTTTATCTTGCTTTTACACTTTAAAATATATCAGTATCAATAGTATTTTGGGTGATTTTAATGTAATCAAAATATATATTGTCATATATTTGAGAGTCGCATATTAAGATATTTATTTTCATTTTTGACAGTTCGTCTAGACCACGTTCCAATGAGAATCCTCTTGTTTAAAGGTAACACAATTACTCAACAACACGCATGTCGGTTTCTTTCTGTTTGATTTTCAAACCTAGGGTACCTTCACCTGAATTTTTATTAACACGGACCACAAACTGCTGTAATATTATTTTCCTTACCAAAATTCCTAACCCGCAATATATATTTTTGGCGCAGGGGTACATGTATGCTTAATATTTCTATTGTATCCAATCCATCCAAATTCTTAATCAATCCTGTCCAATTGTTCATTGACTTCGAGATTTGTTTCATTAATGTATATTGTGTCAGAACTAATGTGTTCGATAAGGTATACACTTAAATCGTGATTGTTAAGCGTCCGTCCTACATTGATGTGACCAAATGTAATCTGCTGCTACTACATTTACCGAATCATGAAAACATTATTTCGGATCATTGGGGCTTTTCAAAATATGTCCAATTGTCTCATGATCAGTATTGGTCGCAATAATTGTAACCCAGGGATCATTAAAGGGCCTGTGTTTAATGCATTTCCAGCGTAAGCACGTAAACAATTGATATTGAACTATTTTATGGGACCGGTAGTTCTTTTTTCTTAAATTTTAACGGTAGTCGTCAGAGAATTGACGTCGATGGACTGTAACTAGATATTGATTTGTCTTTTTTGACTTCCAAGTTTAAGTTCGATAACGCTTTTTCCAACTTTTAAGTAACCTCACGAATCGTTACCTACAAAAAATTATAATTTTAATCTGTTTTCAGCTTACATTTCTCGTACAGTTGTGGTAAAAATCATGTATTATATATATGATTAAAGAAAAACGGATATTTTACAAAAAACACAAAAATTATTTTTAGATATTTATACAATGCATTATACAGTCACACAAATAACGCCGATTTCTGTATTTTCCCGTTGTAACAGAAAAACACATACAACATATCTTTTTCTCCAAAATAAAAAAAAAAACAACTTCTCATATCTCTTATAAAATTAACAGGATATTTCTATTACAATAAATTTAGACGTAATATTTTTAGCGACAAACTTTACTTAGAAAAGGGATATGAAGCTTCATTGAGATAAAAGTTTTTTACAATGTTCCATCCAATGAAAATTAGTTTTAAGTTCAATTTTTAAAAGTGTTCTCAATTAAACATTATCCATGTCCTGAAAATATGTCTTGATGCTTAATTGACGTTAAATCAGAAATGTTTTAGGCAATAGTATATTGATTCATTCCTAATTCAGGAAGCAACATTTATCAAAATCTATATTTGCGGAAAGTACATGTACTTAAAATTACTTAACGTAAATGTCGGTTTCATCATATCTTATAATTTATTACGAAATCTAGTAGATTTATTGTTCACAGAACAATAAGAGGTATTTCCACTTGCAATGAATTTCAATTTTCATTTAATATTCTTTACTTTTAGAAATTCAATAATTTGATTTAAAGGAAACCAGAAGTGGCCGGCTAAAAGATTTAGAAAATTAGAAAAAAAAATTAAATGACCTTTCACCTTGAATAAATGTTTCAAGTCGAAGATCAAGGGTCACATTACATTTTCCTTTTCTACTTATAGTTCATAAGATATGAGGATTTTTCATAAGCTATAAGACATAAAAAGGCAATAACTCATATAAAGGTTTATCAGATCCTTTTGCACTAATAGACTGAAGTTGCACCTAAAGACCATGAAGACATTAGCGAAGGTTTCGTGTCTCTATGACTTACAGCTTAAGAAGTGTAGCGATAACAATGTTTTTCGCACAAATGGCAATAACTTCCAGAAGGGTCAATATTCAGAAGCAATAATGAAAGCTTTGAAATAGTTAAAGAGTACATATCAATGATACAACATCTTCGCTAACCAAGGGTTTCTGATACGCTACTCTCCTCATAAACCCTTGGCCTACGATGTTCATAGAAATCGAGATTTTTTTTCCAGTGTTCTGATTGGATTTCAGTACACCCAGGTCGACCTATTTGCAAATGTTTTTTTTTTTAATGACGATATTTGGGTTCGTTATATATCTTCACTCTTTAATCTCGGAAATGAAAAACGCAAGAAAACAACGATCCGTAAAATAACATTCAATTCCATGAAATCAATATCCATGGTGTCATCCAATATCTTCTAAAAATATGATTAAGAATCTATATTGAAGCTTCAGATTTGTTCTATAAATAATTAATAAACATATCTCAATTATTACTTCTTAATTATTCTTGAAAAAACTTTGATTTAATTTTTTTTAACACGTGTCTTTATTTCTTGCAATGACGCAATCTGTGCGTACCTGATAGATTCGAGATCACGTGACGGAAAACAATCCCGTCTTTTGACTTCACCGCATGCCAAGGGTTTATGAGGAGAGTAGCGTATCAGAAACCATTGGCTAGCGAAGATGATGATACAAAGACAAATAATATAGCTGAAAGACAAAAGAGATAATAAAGCTAAATTTCTCAATTTTTGGAATAACCTTGAACTTTGACCTTTTTTCAAATTTCAAGGTTAAAGCTCATTGAATTTTATGCTTTCAATTCCATGTCTCTACGCTTCTCGATTTATTTATTTATTTATTTGTTAATCGTAAAATTCAAAAAACAATTCATGAGCAATTACTCATTGAAGGGATTTACAAAACCTTTTGCTATGAAAATAATGAAGAGTCTTCCTTATCAGTCAAAGACATAGGTGAAGGATTCAAACCTCTGCAGTTTATGGGTTTTTTTTCAAAAATGGGGGGGGGGGTCGTTTTTCGGACTCAAGTTTTATAATAGGTCTTGCGGTTTCAAAACATCTCCAGAAATAAAATAATAATAAATATATGGATTTCAAGAGGTTTTTCCACAGAAAGGTGAAAAGTTCTTTTTATGACTTGAGAACAACAAATAAAAATGAAACATGAATTGCTACTCAATGTTGTAACGTACCTTCTTCAACCTTGTACGACGAATGCCGTGAATTTGTATGCTTACATGAACAAGTCAGATCACCCTTTCATTAAAATTTCCTTTGTTTTCACTAACACAATTCGCAGTAGATGAAGCTAGATATTTAATGATAAACTGTCCGATCATATCTAAATCTAAAGTATTAAAAGAAGTATTTAAGAAAATATTCACAATATGACAAACATAATAGCTGTGCATTAGTGAAAACAAGGTTTAAAAGATTTTTTTTCTGTATGCTCAATGTAGAGCTAAGATATCCCATAGTGATCAATCCTATCCATGGGGCCATGATTTTTAAAATAATTTAGAATGAAAAAAAACAAAACGATGCTTCCAAAAAAATTCAAATTTTCTTTCCTCGTGGTTCTTTAGAATATTTTTCAATAAACCACCCTACGTTTTTTTTTTTTTTAACGATAATCGTCTTTTGTAGGGGAACATATACGTTCAACTTAACAATTTAAAAATACTGTTAAGTTAATTTAAAGTAAAGGATTTTGTTCGAAATTAACTTAATACTTAATATTGTTCGAGAAAGCAGACGAACAGAGACAATGTGTGATAAGGTAAGCTTACTTGGGGATTCAGTTCCAGTGAGCTAAAATGTTTTAAAATACAACACGGAATCTGGGGAAGGATTGGGTTGTTTTATTAAAATGTAACGCCCTTTTGATTGTCATTAAGAAATTTGGTCAAAAATATATGCCAATCCAGGTATCCACTTTTTATATGTATCATCTGTTCTTAAGTACTTTATTATTTTCACAATGCCTCCTGAACGTTCAGTCACATAAAGATTGTTGCTACTATCCACACATAATTCCCAAGGGTCATGCAGATCAATGTTATTGATGAAGCGGAGAAAGTGCCCGTCTTTGTCCAGAATGTGGATACAGTTATTGCCCCTGTCAGTTGTTAGAATTTGAGAATACATATCTGTTGCTATTCCATAAGGTTTAAAGGACTTAGTAAGTCCTTGTTTTCCTGTATATTTAAATCGAAACGTGCCACTCTCATTAACAACGACTATAGCACCATCTGCGTTATCAGCAACACAAATATCTAAGTTTTTATTTTCTGTTAAAGATGCAAAAAACAAGCTTCTAGAAAATAAACATTTACCTTGATTGTCACATATAATGGTAAATAGTTTTCCCATAGTGTCTGTATAACGAGTTAGTTTTGTTGGTCTAGGTGGTTCATCATAACATTCGGTATTGAATGCTTGAAGAATAAAAATCCCCCCTGATGCAGTTACGCAGATTCCAACTGGAAGCCAAATAAAATCTTTTACAAGGTTTATACACTCATCTTTCTTAAACACACTTACAACTCCCACTTCACCAGTGTTGCCAACGCTCATGAGATCTGAATTATGATCAACTGCAAGACCCCATGACATAACTGGTGTTACTCCATTAAATGTTGCTTCAACAACTTTCAAGAGCTTTCCGCGATTGTTGAAACATTTTATATCCTTGCTCCGATCCCCACAAACCCATATCTCTTTTTCTGAATTTCTGTCGAGACAAGTCACACTTTGAAGTTTATCAAAACCTGTATTGATTTTGCCAATAAATTCGGGTATCTCGAGAATATATGATAGAGTGTCTTCAGCTTTGGAAATTTCTCGGGCGGTCGTTTTCTCCAGTTTTTGAAACGTGTGCTTCGTATGTTCGTCTGAAACAATGCAGGATGTACAAACAGGAACGTTACAGTCAACACAGTGCACTTCGCATTTTTCATTGGGATGGATCCTACAAAGCGGGTAAGTTTGTCTAGCAGAGAATGGTACAACGATGTTGTAATGTTTCTCCGAACTACTTACGATATGTCCACCAACACATTCCTTACATAAGTTCAAAGGACATATTGTGCAAAACATCTCAACTGCATTATTCTTGCAGAAATCACATCTTAGTACATCTTGGCCACTAGTTCTGGGATTCATGGTTAAATACCAGTATACTAGTAAATATCTGTAGAAAATAATAGTACATTTCAATTGTTAGAGCAAAAGCACATCTTTTCGTGGGGTTAAATTCTTGTGGTTCTTAAACAATCGATATTTTCTTTGGAATTTTCTGGCGGAATAAATGTACGTCATTTCAAATTATTTATGCTTACTATTTACTACGAAATATAAATCATTTCAGTTCTATGAATTCTAAAAAAATTAATAACAAAATATAACTTGGCCTTTTGGCTTATCAATTTGAGTTCTTACAATCATAAAAAAATCTCTTCATTGTGAAAATGTTTTGTTTGAGAGATGTATCAAGAAAGTTCTGATCGTGTCCGAGCTGTGTTGAATAGAAAACAAACAGTCCTTTTATTTCTTAATGGAGTGGTTTTTGCAAAACGTTAAAGATTTAGTGCAGTAAAGAATGAAATGAAATCCGTCTTTTACAAGTATTTCAAAAGTATGAGGATTTACATGTATGACTTTAATGTAAATTCTTGATATTCAAGGAAGAGGTGAAGGTATAAGGCCTGTTTTTAGGGTAAGATTTTTTCTAAAAGAGGCATAACGGCAGACCATTTTTTTTTCACTTAACCCATTTGCTTACTGTAAATCACTTTTTATTCACGAGAACTTTATTTTCGCGTAATTACGCGAGACAGTGTGCTCGCGAAAATTTATTTCTCGCGTATAATAGTATTCCTTAAGATTATATAGAGCAATGACCACAATTCGTGAAAATTTTGTCTCGCTTATAAAGAATCAATGGCTATCTCGCGAAAATAAGGTTTCGCGAAAATATAGTGATCTACAGTATCTTTACCCTCACTGAAATCTGTACCAGTTTACAATGTATCAACAAATTTGTAGACTTCTATATCTATATGTGATTACTACATAGCAAAGAAATCAACTGAGAAGCTTTGGATCCGACCATCGAAAGCAAACAAATTTAACCGTTTTATTTTCAATTTATCAACATCATTGAATTATTTCTTATTACTGTTACTGCGCTATAAATAATTCTAAAATATTGAAAAAACTTTCTAAGTTTTAAACGCATTCAAAATACCGATATTTATGTCTTCAATAAAGTCAACTCATATTCCTTTATGCCGTTGTTAGGTCAATTTACATGTAAGCATTGAATCATTATTTTTTTGAAAGATATAGTCTCATAAAAATCCAACGGCGTCCGAAAACAAATTGAGTAACTCGCGTTTTGAAAATTTGTTTGCAAACAACGTTGAAGTTTATTGTGTATGTAGACAGGTAATTTAATGATGTATCTTTAACAATCAATTTTACATCATATTACACCAAACAATATCATTTTGCCCTGCAAAAGATCAGCACCGCATTTACCGTGAAACCGGTGGAAGGGAGTGTCATTCGATAGCGTTTTTAAGGAAGATCGTGCTAGAGCCATTTGGTCTGTTCCTCAGCCTATATCTTTAAGAAAATATATACAAACAGGGCTTAAAACTCTACGTCCATTGTTCAAAAAAAAATGTAGATTGCTAACACATTCATGATATATAACTAACGAAAGATAGATAACAAACACTTTCTTCGTATTAACGACTAAAATAAAAATAGAATGAATAGAAATGACGTTCTAAACAACAAAACCAGCAAGTACTCTGAATGACTTTTTTTCCGGCACAACTTATTTCTGTGGATAATTATACATGTATGTCTTATTGGTTGATAAGATATAGACTGTCAAAATTTGCACTCTAGAAGAAATAAAGTTAATGTAACATCTCGATGATAAGGGGTAAATAAAAAGAAGAAAACGATACTACCAACCTGTTTGAGCAGTAAACTCTACGTGTCGGTTTCGTCAGTAATCCAGAACTGATAGTGATATAATATGGTTCAAATTCCTTCAGTTGGTTATCACGTATAATAAATGAATAGAATCAACTTTACGAAGTATTATCGTAACAACGTGGCCAATTTTCAGAACAACAGATAGTAATATTTTATCATGGCCTAGTTGTTATCACGGAAATGGCCTAGTTGTTATGATTGATCTAGACTACCCCAGAGTTCTACATACACAATTTACGCTTTTGTTAGCCGGGTCATTATGAAATAATATCATGAAATAACCCATGAACACTGAAAAAAAGATGCTCTGTGGCAATGCAATTTAAAAATCACGTCACACAATGATTTTTTTCTCTTCGACAAAATCAAAACACTGCCAAGCTGTTATTTTTAAAAGGGGGGGGGGGGTCTTTTAGTAAATGCCGAATACTCTAGAATAGGGTAACGACGATACACACAGGACTACATTGTAAATAAAATATGGGTAAAGGTATAACTAACAAAACAGGTAATAAACTTGCTTAATAGGGCGACTGCAAGAGAGCCGGTGTAACGACGAAAAGTGACAAAAGGAGAGATGTTAGCTGTAATCTATACAGTCAGGAATGCAAACCAAAAATATATGATTATTGATATAACACAGTAAATGGGTGAACTAATTCATTTATTACAGGTAACATGAACTTGACCGGAATTGCTCTTATCGCCCAAGAGTTCATGTAGTCCTGCAAGATAAACATACATGAACAGTTGTTTCTGGCAAGATGGGGTTTTACGATTGTATTTTGAACTTAAAATCAAATAATAATGTTCGGTCATATCCATTCCATGTTTCTGTTATAAATCTAATAGTTTAACCGCAATAAATTTGTTTTATCAAAAAAAGAACCCTAACTCATAACCAATGACATAACTATGGCACGCCGATTGGTTCAAAATTATTTTCTGCACAACGATCACGATTTTATACACGAGCTAGAAGAAAAATATACACGAGTAAAATAAAAATGCACGTATCGGTAAAAATTGCACATAGTTTAAAAGATTTTTACACAAACATAACGAAAAATACACGAATCCGAATTTTTTTACACGACTAAAGGGTTTAATATGCACAAACAAAAATCGAAAATTGCACGAGCAGAGGAAACTAAAAATTACACAAACAATTTCACTGCGCATACAGCTGCGCATATCATTACTATGCACATAGAATATTCATTGTGTTCTTGGTTTTCTGTACTCTTTATCTCTTCGTGTATGCTAAGCTGAATGTTATCGAGAATGGAAGTTGTTTTTTAGCTCTACTGGTCAGAGACCAGAAGAGCTTATGCGATAGTAATGCGTCCGGCGTCCGTCCGTCTGTCTGTCTGTCTGTCTGTCTGTCTGTCTGTCTGTCTGTCCGTCTGTCTGTAAACAATTTTTAAAAACGCTACTCCTCCTACAATTTTAGTCTGATTTCAATATTACTTGGCACACAAGTAGACTACACTAAGATACATAGAATAGTGCATCGGTTTTTGATTTCGATGAACGGTTTTGCCATGTTTACTAAAAATAGAATTCTCTGTGAAATTCCTTTAAAACACTACTCCTTCTACAGTTTTGGTCTGATTTCAATATAACTTGGCACACAAGTAGACTCACTAAGATACATAGAATAGTGCATCGGTTTTTGATTTCGATGAATGGTGTTACCATGGTTACTAAAAATAGAATTTTCTGTGAAATTCCTTTAAAACGCTACTCCTTCTACAATTTTGGTCTGATTTCAATATAACTTGGCACACAAGTGGACTACACTAAGATACATAGAATAGTGCATCTGATTTTGATTTCGATGAACGGTGTTGCCATGGTTACTAAAAATATAATTTTCTGTGAAATTCCTTTAAAACACTACTCGTTCTACAGTTTTGGTCTGATTTCAATATAACTTGGCACACAAGTAGACTACACTAAGATACATAGAATAGTGCATCGGTTTTTGATTTCGATGAACGGTGTTGGCATGGTTACTAAAAATAGAATTTTCTGTGAAATTCCCTTAAAACGCTACTCCTTCTACAGTTTTAGTTTGATTTCAAAATAAGTTGGCACACAAGTAGACTACACAAAGATACATATAATAGTGCAATGGTTTTTGATAAGTACAAACCAGTAGAGCTACAGTCTCGACAGAGACTTCTGGTTTACAATCCGATTTCGGATGAAGTGTTTCCATCTGATCTATGCGAGAGTATTTAAAAGCTTTTTGAAAATACTATGTTTTTCTAATATTGACCGAGATCAAGGATGTATTATATGATGCGGACAAAAATTGTAACAAGGATGAATCGGTACTTTTGTGCTACAATGCAGGGTAAAAAAAAGTATCATTGCGTATGATGCACTCGACTCCGAAGTTCCGAACTAAAAGTACCTAACGATGAAAGTGCAGTACGGCTGACAAGGATCTTGATATAAAAAAATCATTTGAGGAGATTTTTTCCCAATTTCGGAATAGGAAATTAAATACTCAGTTGGCTGGATATATATAAATGTGTATACATTTTTAAATTTAAAAAATGATGAGGATTACCTTAGATGTACACAACGTGTTTTTAATGTCAAACCTAAACTCATTTTATTTCTATTTACATATGTATCCAAACTTATAAAATATCCGATATCAATTTTGGTTGGATATCTGTAGCCTACTTTTTGTTATGATTTTTTCCATATTTCATATTTTCAGTTATAAACTTCGAAATAAAAACAAGATATTTCTTGTAAGCGTTACCCTCATTCGTAATGGCGATTACTTAATAAATGTTTTCATTTTTAATAAAAAGGACCAGATAAACGGGGAATATACTTATTTACTCTATGCACATGCGCTTTTGTGTTTTGTTAATTAAATTTGTCCAAATGAAATAACAAAACTCTACTCAAATAATCCTGGCTATGGAAAAACACATGATCAGTGGCGGACCTGGCTCGTGGATCGATTGGAGTCCCCCCAAAAAATTATTTAGGTTTCAAATCGTTGGACCATAATGACACACCAAGACTTTTAAAACATTGTGAATTACTTAATACATTTACATACAATGCTTCACATAAATAAAATGGGAATGGATACTGCAGTTTGATAATAAATGGAAAGAATA